AAAACCCCAAAACCCCAAAACCCCAAGGTATAGATCTTCATTTTTCTTTTAGTGAAAAGTGAATTTCATAAATTTTTACTTCTTAATACAAACTGATTCAGATAATGAAATTAAATAATTATATTTACTAATTTCATGCATATTGAGACATTTTTATACTACATTCTTACATTACCTCTAGTCTTCTTAGGTTATCTTGCTTATATTATAATCTAATAATACTTCAGGCGTAGATTTTATGAAAAACAAGGAGTGAAATTTTGCTCAAGGTCTCAGTTATTGTTTGGCCATAGAAACAGATTTTTTGAGGCGGCAGCTAAAGATCCTTTGTAATCTTCTTATAAAACAATGGTTAATGAAGACTTCTCAGACTAAGAGTAAATTTGTGTTGGAATAGAATTAGGAACTCAATTTAATTTCTACATCAGAGATATCAATTTCCCATAAAGTTTATATCAGCAAAATAAAGTGAAGTTTGATAAAGATCCATCACTCTAATCTGCTTTGGGAGCACTTGGAAAATCTTTCGTTTTTGTATCTAAAGATAGTGATTATTGGAAAAAAGTAAGACCAGCTGTAACAAAAAGCTTATATACTGATAATAGAGATGAAATATATGAATAAATTAAGCAAAAAATTATCAAAGAAGTTGAATCAAATCCTTTCAAATTAGATACTGAATATAATTATTTGCCAGATCTCTTAAACATAATGTCATCAGCCCTATCGAAAAGCTTCTATGAAGTGGATCTCTCAAAAGATCTAATTAGTCAACTTTAAAATGGTAATATGATAAAAAGATCTGTGAGTGAGTCACTTATTAACAGCTTTAAAGTTTAGTTTATTAAAACCTTTGACAAATTAAACATGATTTTTCCATTTTTAATGTAGTATGGAATTGGAGTATCGAATTCTGAGCAAACTTACAATCAAAGTCAAATTAATAAATACTTTCAGAAAATCATTGCTATAAATAAAAAGTAATAAGGGAGTAATTAGAATCATAAAGTTATTTAAAATTTGATAAAGCATATTCAGTTGCCTGACGAATAGCTAAGTATTGAACTTTGTCTTTTTTGGCTTGGCATTCTAGATAATACACTTTCATCTCTAAATAATACTCTTCAATTATTGGCAAGTAATCCTACTCCTAGACATAAACTTGAAGATTTAATATAAAATGGATCTTAAAAGGATTAGTTGGAGTATGCTAGATTATGCATATTAGAATCATTGAGAATGTTCTCTACAAATCCATTTTCATCACCATAAGGTATTCTTAGTGATGGCTAAATAGGAGAGTATTATTTCAAAAAAGGAGACATCATTAGAATTGATTATGATTACATTCATTATCACAAAGATATCTGGCAACGACCTCAAGAATACATTCCTGAAAGATTTGACTTCAATAATCCACTCTATCTCTAACCTAATGGCAAAAAGAGGGGCATTTATAGTTTCCTAGCATTTGGATCTGGCAAGAGAATCTGTCCAGGTGCTGATTTTATTGAGAACGTTGGTGCAATCTTCTTGATTGAACTTATGAAAAGATATAGGTTTGAAAATTTAGGCAACTCAGTGTTTATGAATCTCTATCAACTATATAAGCCAAATATTTAAATGATGGTTAAAAAGCAAAAGAACACTGATATATTCTGATTAATATATTAATCTTATTCTTAAAAGTTATTTCATTATTTAAATAGAATATAAAGTTAGAAATAAATGTTAAAACATGGGGTTTTGGGGTTTTGGGGTTTTGGGGTTTTGGGG